AGTGTGATGTGCTTCCTTTCAACCAAATTCTGAGCTCAGAGGCTGAAGAATGCAAGCTCAGATATTAGCACGTACTCCGATCAATAACGAAAGAAAGGCAAAGGGAATAATTCAGCCCTGCACATCTGTGTGTTGTCGGGCCTGTAAAATGCAATCGACGCACGTGCACGGTCATTACGGCTCCAGAGCGCGTTCCCGGAGCTGCCCTGCGCGCGCGCCCTTCCCTCTGGGGCGCGTTCTCGCCGGACAGTCTCTGCCGGTGTAACGTGAGTGTGTTTGTGTGTGTGTGTGAGAGAGTGTGCGAGGCGAGCCCGTACAGAGAGCAGACAGATTACCGACCGCAGTTCCCCGTGTATTCCACAGCAATATGTGCACAACCGAGAGGTCTGCGCTGAGCCACGGAATAAACTAGAATCAGGTAAGCGCTTGTCAGTGCGTTCCACCTGCACAGCAAAGTATTCAACAGTATTAATGACAGGATAGGAGGGGGAAACTCGAGACGTTTACTAGAGGAAATCTGCAGATTGAAAGTAGTAATTCGCAGGAATCCAGATAGATGCGCGAGCAGCCGCCGACGCGCGCAGACGGGTTTGCTGCTCGTGCGTGTGGCCGGCCGGGTCCGGCGGAGTGTGTGTGTCTTACCTCCCGGCTCCCAGCGTGTCTGCTGCCGACGCCTGGGCTCACGCGTCCCGTCCGGTCCGGTCCGGTCCGGTCCGGTCTAGTTCGCCCCAGAGCGACAGGAGGGGCTCTGAACTGAGGCGGCTCCGGTCCTAGACACACAACCCAGGTGATCTCATCCCAGAGCCCCCATAAGAAGAGCGACGGGCGCTGCGCCTGGTTTCTCTCTTGGACGATGAAGCGGACCTCTGGATAGGATGCCGTTGTGTGAATGTGTGTAATTTGCACGATGACACTGCACGCACGGATCTCGCTTGCTCGCGCACTGTGACACGGGGTACGAGGCAGGTGGGGCGGTGGGACCCCGCGCGGCCGGGGCGCGCGTGTGTTTTTGGCCGCCGAGTCCTCCCAGCGAAGGGGGCAGGAGCCCACGAGCTGCACGGCACGGCTCGCCGGACCCCGCACGAGTGCCCGCCGGCGGGGCCGGGGCTGTTGTGATCTGGGTGAGTTATTCTTTAAAGCCCACGTTATGAGGGTAACATGCATGACCCGGCAATCAACGGGACCTTTTAAATAATTCAATTAACGTGTTTACTGCTCGAGCCATAACTGCTCGATTTACAGTAGGAGAACGATCTGGGGCTGTCACGGCGTTGACGCAAAGAGCAATTGTCCGAAAGGTGCAATTAAAACGAACGAATCGCGTGGAGTCGCTTTAATAAAGTTAGAGACTGTTGGTGTGGGTCGGGGCTGCGCGCTGTGATGCTTCTGCAAAGGTGTCCGCGCTCCTGTCAGCTCTGCGCGAGAGCCCGAGTTGTAAGAAATGGTGGGTTTTCCTCGCGGCGCGTGGCGAGGCGGTGGGCGGTGTTTCCCGAGCCGCGGCCGGGGTTCCCTTCTCGCGCGCAGACACACACAC